GCTTCTGGTTTATTTTCAATTACCTAGTCCACATGGCTTGTTCAGACTTTAGTGCAGTTTTGTAACTTTAATCTGAAGAAAATTGAATAACTAGGAATAAACTGCAAAATAGATTTCGAAATACTCATTTTCGGAAAAAACCTTAATAAATTCTGCAAAACAATACCCTCATTTCGACATTGCTTCTTTTCGAAATTGTATCACGGAAATCAAGTTTCTAACAGTCTTTAGCAGAGTCAGAGCTTGAAAGCATTATTGGTTATGCCAGAAAAAAATACCGGCTTTGTCTAAAGAAAATTGAAAGCGCCTCGTATAGACTTGATAGCCAATATCTTCATTCATAAAACTAATGATTACTGCTGTCGACTGTTTACCACAAGAAGGCAATGTGCTTACGTCAGGCGTTGGAAAATAGAATTTGCTCCTATTAAGAAGAATTCAAAGAGGAACCAGTGGATATCTCTACTGTGGCAGCTGTGCTGTTTATTTTCATCACAAGTCCCAGCAGTGACCTGAGTTGTGCGCTCAAACTGTAAACCAACGGCATCTCATAAGGTCAACTTACCGGAATAACCTTTACTGAACGATAACGTACTTTGATGGGTGAGTTATCGTGATGTGGACATCACCGTGGCGAAGCTGACGTGGCATTGTCTAGTGTGACACCCCCACTATCACAGAATTTAAAAAGGTTTCTAATACAGGTCAAGTGACTGACTGACCTCTTTGATTATCACCCCACCCAACTCTCCGACCAATGTTAAGAAAATTGGGAAATGTATGTCAAATTGTTCCAATTTCCCACCAGTAGGTGCACGTATTCGTGCGTTTCTTCTAAGTGGAGGGCAATTAACCGGAACGTCATAAATGTTACGACAAGTCACATCATAGGTGATTTTCTTCCTACCTTATGTACACAACCGCTTTCACAGACTAATTTTGCCAACAAAACTCGTTAATGACGCATGTATTCAACAAAGCAAGATGAATTCAGTAAAATTGTACGGAATAACTGAAAGTGGGTACCAGTTGGTGATTTGGAAATATTTGTAATCGAGACAAATTTCCCTGCTCCCCTAGGTGGTAGGCAAATGTAAAGAAAGCCAATTTAGAGATGCAATATTTGGCTCACCGCGGCATTACCAAACCTTACTAGCTGCAGTAAACAAAACTTCCTCCAATGCAGTAACGCAATTCAAGGATCATATTTTAGACAATTTTTGTTTAATGCAACAAAGTTTATCAAATATGCAAAACATAACGTGCACTCCACCATATTAAAGAATATCAAGTCCATTGTTGTGAAAACGAGGTAGATAAGGATTAATTCCCTGACGCGGAAATGGATGAGTGAGGCACTTCAGAGTAAAAGAGAAAAACAACTTTAGATCTCGTCGAGGTCGGAGAATGGGAACAGATATCGCAGATGGTGGTGACTGCCGTGGCCGAGGGCGAGTCGGAGTTGGGACAGTCTGAGGGAGAGAGTGAGAAGGCGGCGAAGCGACCACAATGGCCAGAGGTCCATGAGAGGAGTTTGACCGCAGCCTAGGCTGAAAGGCTGCAGCAAGCACGCGGCCACGGGGGCACTGATGAGTGCCGGATGAAATCGCGACATACCGAGGGCCGCGTAGCTCTCCACTCGTGACAACCATGCCACCCAATTTGTTACTAGAGCCACAACCGCGAGGAATCGTAGACAGGTAGGTGTGGGGTAGGCACCGTCTCTTCCTTCACATCCATCGAGCTCACTCTCCTGCAGCTCTTCCTCGATGGGAATGGGCACGCGGTAAAAGGGCGAGAGAGCGTTGAGCGGCGTCATCCAGAGAACACCAGTGAGCCGAGGACTGGGTAACTCACGGTACCGCATCAGATTGAGCAGAGGCGAAAGTGGCGAGAGTGCCTATACAAATACATAAGAAGCAAACTGCCTACATCACAGCCTAGTTGAACTGCACTTCACAAGTTCATGCCACTCAGTCTTGTTTGCAGTCAACTGAACAATGCACTACACTCAGTAGCGAGATCAAAAAGATACTTGGTTTGCCCCAAGCTCTCAAAGTAACGCCCAGATAAACCAACGAGTATGAATCAGTGTTAAATTGATTCCATGTAATCGACAGATCCTGTCCTGGTCATTAAAATGCCAAGATAATGAACAGAAAGTAGGGTAGATTTACTATCATCAGTGGGCTTACCATGGGGTCGAGGAGAACGAGATTCTTCATGCCATGATTCTTGGCGCAAAAGTGACAAATATCCGACATCATTCGACCCAAACTGGCTCGCCATGGTGGAATTTGGATACCAGCCGTTGAAAGGTCTACAATCTGCTGTGGAGCGAACCGAATGGACCATCGCGTACTGCGGGAAAACCACTTCCACACCGGAGCTAGACCAACATTAATAGATTTCCTTATGCGGTTGTAATCGGATTGACAGTCCGTACAGTCTGTTATAAGTGGATAAGACATATGACTATCCTTGCAATTTGAAAATGAGACAGATGAAGACGGTTCTTTGCACTCCTTATCGGACTCATTGGCACTATTATCGTGCTCTTCCATGCCTGACACTTCACTTTCCGAAATCAAGTTGACCACAAGATCAGACATTCTACTTTGAGCATCCGACTCAAATAACATGGTGTCAGATAATTCAGTGGGTACCGCAAAAACGTCTCCGTGATCCGAATAGCAGGAGTCGAAAAGACGTCCGATACCTTGACTTCCACTGCCATCGCCACTGCCTTCATCCAAAAAGCATGGGACGTTTCCTCTAAGTCGGTTGTCCTCAAAGTACAAACTACTGAACAGAGCATTTATTCCTCTGCCATCCAGTGCTGACCACGGGCAAAAGTCTTCAGTTAATGTGTGTCTAACCGCTTCTTTGACTTCAAACATATTGCTAAGGTTCAGAGAAGAAATGTAGCTAAGGTAGGATTGGCAAGAACTTCCAGAGTACTCGGTATATGCATACCAGGGACAGCTGCTGGATGTTTGCCTCAATTCTGGGTGAGACTGATATTCACGTAAGACACTGCCAATAAAGAGAGTGTTGTAATGTTCCCCCAATTCATTGCGATGATGATCGGTTCCCAAAAATTCAAAAAAGTAGAAAACAGTGTAATTATCTCTGTTTCGGCCATTGCTAGGATGCCAAATAAGAACCCGTTGTGATTCAACTTCAAACGGTGTACAGCGCCTATCATAAGGGCCCCAAGAAGTAATTTTCTCTTCAAGATCAAGCAAATAGCGCATTTTTGCGAACGATGGCACAGTGTCAGATGTGCCATCGGAGGGTGCATAAATTGTCTCACTGAAGGGCTCCTAAAGCAGTAAAACACTATTTTATTACAGATTCCAATGATTTTACTCCCCAAATTTCATTCACTTTATTGAGATCTCGACCAACCTTATTTTCTGGGGCTGCAGCATTAAAGGGAGCATCAATTTCTTCACCACCTTTCTGATCTACTTCATCTCCTGTCCTAACCGCGGCCCCAGCCTCCTCCAACTCCTCCTCTCCAGTGGGCAGACAACCATTGTCGCAGGCCCATTTGACCCACGCGGTGTTTGGTGGGAAGCAGCGTCCCTTGACCGGCAGACCGGCAAGCACACGCGCTGTCATCGTGGGCAGCTGTGCAGGATCATTGACTATGCCAAAGTCATTGTTTGGCGAGTCAAAGGCGGGGTGGTCGATGAGGTAGAGCACCGCCTTCACCAAATCTAGCAGATTGTAGCAGCTGTGCATCAAGCGAGCCAAAAATAAAGAATTAAACTTCAAATTAAGCAAACAAGGCCATCTATTCAGCCTGAAATTGTGTTTACGACTGTATTTCAAATCCACACATCCATATTCCATAATCTGAAGTTGTAAAGCGAAATAACAAAACGCCTCATTTTCATTATTTATGATTGTAGATTTCATTTGCACATTGCCAAATTCATTTCAGTAAAGGTGTCGACCACTATGCTCAACCGCAAATGGCTTGAATTTCATAGCTTACAGGATTTTGCTCACCTTCGCCAGTCGTAGAGAAGGCTTAAACATATGGGACCAGATGATGGGTCAATGTTGGGATGAAATATGGGTGTGTCGAAGGAAATGTCAGGGCTATCCTTGGGATATGTGGAACAACACTTGATCTAAAATTAATTATGTCTTGTATAACACCGTTCTATAGAATAATAATTACGCACATCTCAAATTATCTCTAGTGATTTGCAAAACAACGAAAATGTGTAGTCTGGAGTAACTGTTATAATACGGAAAGTCAACCATGGTTTACAATAATCAAATAAGTGACCTGAGTGTTGTTAAATGTCTACTGCCAAATTAATGGGAGGAGTTCCATTTCAGGAGTACCAGAATTACATAATTGCGATTATTGTAGCTCTTTGGAATTTCCAACCCACATGTGTTACGTACACGACGAAATATTCTAGTGAATTTATATACAAATGCAAGAATTATCAAAAATGTTGAAGAAACGCACAGTTAACAGGAATTCTGCATGCGCGTTGTAGCCGGATGTGGGGCGCAGAGAAACCTTGACCGTCATCTCATCGGCCGCGATGATGGATGCCTGGCCGTTAGTGGAGGCGTCGATTGTCCTGTACAGCTGCTGCACGTCCTTCATAAATGTGCGCTGAGTTGTTGGACAAGTCATCTGGACGTGGCGAATTTTGCCGGGTCAGGGTAATCAGATATTTAAACTGGACTTAGGCTACCCCGGGCCCTACGCTACATTTAGTAAATCACTTTTGGCTCGTTAGCCCGCTCTGTAATGCTGCCGTCAAAAAGTGACATTAATATAACTACAATTCTAGGATATGATAGCCCCCACAATGTAGGAGAGGGTTGACCGCTAAACGAGAATACTGTGCGCTGATAAGTTTGGAAATAAACTGTTTTCGGATGTCAAGACAACATAATTTGAAAAGTGAGCTGGGTTTGGGATGATTTGAATGAGCAATTCATTGGCGTGACATTCACTTCACGGTCACAAAATCCGTAGAACCTACCAAAATAATTCCAGGATACTCATTACAAGACTTTGTAAATGGGAATCAATTTCACAGAAGAAAATAACACTTTTCCCATGAAATGGGTTCTATGCATTTTAACGGAGAAAATCCACATTCGCATATCAGGCTCCGTCATCAATTGCCTGTTTTAACAGGTTAAGCACAACTTCTATGACTAATCTGCGTCGTCACGCTGACTGTACGCACCTCACCCTCCTGGCTTGTAGGCATAATAACACAACTACACTCCTATGACTTTGTTAGATGTATTTATGCGACTTTTCATTCAAGCAGTCACCAGCCACTTTACACAATTCCTCAATTGTTTGTAATTGACAAAGACGAAAACCCTTTGATTGTGGGTTTTGCAACAAGACAACACTCGCTAACTCCGATAGTTGTTTATTCAGACCGGGTTAGTGATGCTTCAATATCATGTAGCCCTAGTGACTTCAGGTTGGCGGAACAATTACGTAACGCGTCCTTGTTGTAAACATATGATCAGGAGAATGGCTTATTTTTCTGAATACGTGTACGCCAAGAATTAAATGAATAAACGACATCGCGCCTTGGCGCTGAACATTATGAATCGTGTAAAGTTGAGAGCTATTGAAAACAGTTTGACAAGATCACCATAAGTTTCCTTTTTGAAACCCAAAACTGAATTCTCAGTGCACAAGAAAGAGAATGGGAAACTTTTCGCTTTAAAAGTGCTTGTATAAGGATTTGGTTGCAAATCGTGTGGGTTCAAAGCAATTTTATTACAGATGCATTGAGGAGATGCAGGGGAAAATTAACGAACCAATCGTTTGGGGAATACGAACATTGAAATGAATTGGTTAAACCGAAGGGTAATCTAAGGTGGGGGAGTAGACTGGTTGACATTTCAACACCTTAATGCAAAATGAATGAAGCAAAAATACTCACGATGATCTTGTTGATCGGCACAATGGAGCCACAAGACAAACCAGCCGTGCATTTAAGGGATGATACGGTTTCTACCATATTGTTAAAAGCGGCAATGCGACTTCAAGGTCACGGCTAGCCAATCCGCATGCAGTGACATTTTGATTTGCCAGATTGTGAAATTCTTCGCATGCCGCCATTCTTCCATTAAGGCTACCAGCACAAATGACTCACCCCAACAAGGGTCTGCCTTGAAAATAAACCAGAAGTAGCGAAATAACAAAACGCCTCATTTTCATTATTTATGATTGTAGATTTCATTTGCACATTGCCAAATTCATTTCAGTAAAGGTGTCGACCACTATGCTCAACCGCAAATGGCTTGAATTTCATAGCTTACAGGATTTTGCTCACCTTCGCCAGTCGTAGAGAAGGCTTAAACATATGGGACCAGATGATGGGTCAATGTTGGGATGAAATATGGGTGTGTCGAAGGAAATGTCAGGGCTATCCTTGGGATATGTGGAACAACACTTGATCTAAAATTAATTATGTCTTGTATAACACCGTTCTATAGAATAATAATTACGCACATCTCAAATTATCTCTAGTGATTTGCAAAACAACGAAAATGTGTAGTCTGGAGTAACTGTTATAATACGGAAAGTCAACCATGGTTTACAATAATCAAATAAGTGACCTGAGTGTTGTTAAATGTCTACTGCCAAATTAATGGGAGGAGTTCCATTTCAGGAGTACCAGAATTACATAATTGCGATTATTGTAGCTCTTTGGAATTTCCAACCCACATGTGTTACGTACACGACGAAATATTCTAGTGAATTTATATACAAATGCAAGAATTATCAAAAATGTTGAAGAAACGCACAGTTAACAGGAATTCTGCATGCGCGTTGTAGCCGGATGTGGGGCGCAGAGAAACCTTGACCGTCATCTCATCGGCCGCGATGATGGATGCCTGGCCGTTAGTGGAGGCGTCGATTGTCCTGTACAGCTGCTGCACGTCCTTCATAAATGTGCGCTGAGTTGTTGGACAAGTCATCTGGACGTGGCGAATTTTGCCGGGTCAGGGTAATCAGATATTTAAACTGGACTTAGGCTACCCCGGGCCCTACGCTACATTTAGTAAATCACTTTTGGCTCGTTAGCCCGCTCTGTAATGCTGCCGTCAAAAAGTGACATTAATATAACTACAATTCTAGGATATGATAGCCCCCACAATGTAGGAGAGGGTTGACCGCTAAACGAGAATACTGTGCGCTGATAAGTTTGGAAATAAACTGTTTTCGGATGTCAAGACAACATAATTTGAAAAGTGAGCTGGGTTTGGGATGATTTGAATGAGCAATTCATTGGCGTGACATTCACTTCACGGTCACAAAATCCGTAGAACCTACCAAAATAATTCCAGGATACTCATTACAAGACTTTGTAAATGGGAATCAATTTCACAGAAGAAAATAACACTTTTCCCATGAAATGGGTTCTATGCATTTTAACGGAGAAAATCCACATTCGCATATCAGGCTCCGTCATCAATTGCCTGTTTTAACAGGTTAAGCACAACTTCTATGACTAATCTGCGTCGTCACGCTGACTGTACGCACCTCACCCTCCTGGCTTGTAGGCATAATAACACAACTACACTCCTATGACTTTGTTAGATGTATTTATGCGACTTTTCATTCAAGCAGTCACCAGCCACTTTACACAATTCCTCAATTGTTTGTAATTGACAAAGACGAAAACCCTTTGATTGTGGGTTTTGCAACAAGACAACACTCGCTAACTCCGATAGTTGTTTATTCAGACCGGGTTAGTGATGCTTCAATATCATGTAGCCCTAGTGACTTCAGGTTGGCGGAACAATTACGTAACGCGTCCTTGTTGTAAACATATGATCAGGAGAATGGCTTATTTTTCTGAATACGTGTACGCCAAGAATTAAATGAATAAACGACATCGCGCCTTGGCGCTGAACATTATGAATCGTGTAAAGTTGAGAGCTATTGAAAACAGTTTGACAAGATCACCATAAGTTTCCTTTTTGAAACCCAAAACTGAATTCTCAGTGCACAAGAAAGAGAATGGGAAACTTTTCGCTTTAAAAGTGCTTGTATAAGGATTTGGTTGCAAATCGTGTGGGTTCAAAGCAATTTTATTACAGATGCATTGAGGAGATGCAGGGGAAAATTAACGAACCAATCGTTTGGGGAATACGAACATTGAAATGAATTGGTTAAACCGAAGGGTAATCTAAGGTGGGGGAGTAGACTGGTTGACATTTCAACACCTTAATGCAAAATGAATGAAGCAAAAATACTCACGATGATCTTGTTGATCGGCACAATGGAGCCACAAGACAAACCAGCCGTGCATTTAAGGGATGATACGGTTTCTACCATATTGTTAAAAGCGGCAATGCGACTTCAAGGTCACGGCTAGCCAATCCGCATGCAGTGACATTTTGATTTGCCAGATTGTGAAATTCTTCGCATGCCGCCATTCTTCCATTAAGGCTACCAGCACAAATGACTCACCCCAACAAGGGTCTGCCTTGAAAATAAACCAGAAGT